CAGCATTGTTTAGACATTCCAACAAAAATTGAAAGTACAGATTTTAGGTAATAAAATTTAATTTCAGTGCTACAAAACATTGTTAAAATTAGTATTTCTTAGATATTGATTTATGTATGGGAAAATAAAGTGAATTATTTTCACAGTTTTACTGTAAATCTAATAAAATATTATAACCATTATAGTATTAACCATTAAGTGCAATTCACAAGTGCTGTAAAGCATCCTACTTCTATTTCTTATAGTTAATGTCATAAAAGAAAGTACTTGCACAGGGTCCCCGAAAGTGTTCTATCTCAAGAGTAAATAAAACTAAAATTAAGAGTAACAAATATTTTTATTTCTTGTTTTTGAAGTTCATATGTCATGCTGTGTTGTAGTCCACAGAATACATAATTCTTCTTGTAATTCATGGCATACACACGCTTTACTGCACACACACACATATATTTTCTTTAAAACTCCTTTGACAACAAACATTTGTTTCTGCAATAATGTTATTTATTGCAGTTAGTAAGACTACACAATGTTATTTATGCTTGAGATTTTTTTGAAATAAATGGCAATGGAAGTAAGTCGCTGTTATTTAAAATTTCTATTAGATCATTAGGTAGGGATTATCAGCCAGGTTTCTAAGGTCTTGGATGGCCTCCAGCTGATAAAAAGTTTGGTAACCCCTAATCTGTAAGACACTACAGTTTAGGAGTTGTATTACTATTCATTGTATGAGAAGTTATGGCTAAGTTTGATAAAATTGTCTTACATTTCATATTGCTTGTTTCACTTATAAAGAGATAGATATGTTTGTTTTCCATCATTAAACAATTTCTAGGCTTTAGATAATGTACAAAATTTAAAAAATACAATTTGAGAATCAATAATTATTTTCTGTTGTTTCTTGAAAGATTTGACTCATAGTTTATTCAGGTATTTGTTATTATTTTTAATTTGTCACATTGTTAATCTTTTTATATGATTTTTTTATTATCATCTTAGTTTGGAGAAACATGTTTGAAATGTTTGCCAGATTTGATCAAATCCACCCTACCAACATTCGTGTATCCACTTCTATCACATCCCCAGCTCGATGTACGTGAAGGTGCTATTAAAGCCTTCTCAGTGTTTCTTCTTCGATCTGAATTTCAGGTAAATTTCTAGATTTATTGGTTTTTTTATTTGTAGAAAAAATTTGTTTTTTTTGGAATGAAAGTGAGTTCAAAGTAAACTGTAGATTTTTTACTGTAAGATATACCTTTCACTGTACACTGTGTTGTTCAGTTGTAAACAATATATATATTTTGAATATGATTATGTATGTGTGTTTTTACTTATAACCTTTGAGGTATAACTTCATACAAACACCAAACAAAAAGCATATTGTTAAGAAAATCACCAACATCTTTTACACATAAGCTAATATAACTTTCCAAAATGGCTGAACATTTTGGACATAAAATGCAAATGATTTGGTGTAATAAGAACAAAATAAGCTCTATTTAACTTTTTAAGGCAGTTTTGCAAAACTATTCAAAAGAAAAGAAATTCCAAAATATCCTAACTTTTTAAAATATCTTTTTTGAAGCATGAATATTTTTTTTTACTAGGAGTGTCAGCAAACTTTTACTCGTGTTTTGTCCAGTTTGGCTCTGGCCATGGAAACTAAAGACTCAAATTTATTGCCAAAGCCTGGGAATCTTGACAGCTGTTTCAGTGACCCCTATCTTGTCCAAAGTTTACTGGGACTTGGAGTTTTTCTTGTGAAGGTAAGATCAGATTTTGTTTTAGAATTTCACTTCAGTCAGATGCAAGAGCTTTCAGGTAATTGCTAAATGTAAGAGTAATGTGCATGTTTGAAAATAAAAGCCTCCATTGTCAAAGTAGTATTTTGTTCTTATGTAGTGTTTTATGAAAGTATAGTATTTTTGAATGGTCCAACTTAAAGAAATTTACAGTGTTACAGCTAGTCTCAAACAAAAATAGGGAAAATTAATGAACATATACTTTAGTTTTGATTTTTATTTTCAGAATTTACCTTTGGAGCTTTTGTTGACAGAGTGGTCTGAGGTGTTTAGAATTTTTCTGGCTTACTTGTCTCATCCTGCATGTTCTGTTCGACAAGTAGCAAGTGAAATATTTAAGTTCTTAGGTAAGTTCTGATTTCTGATATTTCTAGGAAGTCAAAAACAAATAAGCTTTTATGTTTCTGGAGTGACGCTTATATTTTATTTGAGTTCTTTAGTTTGTTTTTTTATTCCTGTAAACTCTCAATGGAGCATAGGGTCGCGACAACAACTCGCCAATGAAAGTTGTTGTTGCAGTTACTTGTAGCAGGTTGTTTTTTACGGGGTGGAGTTGCTAGCCCCGCGCCCAACCCTCCTCCTCCTTTCTCATCCTGGACTTGGGACCAGGCAAAGGCAGAGGTTGGCATGTTTGGTGTGACGGGGATTCGAACTCGCGACCCTCAGATTACGAGTCGAGCGCCCTAACCACCTGGCCATGCCGGGCCTTTCAAAGGTGTTAGAAAGTAGTAATTCTACTTTATCAGAGGAATTTTAAAAGATGTTTGTTGTTGTTTTATGATAGAAAGTTTCAGAAAAGTAGAAATTTTAACTACAGAAATCAAACCAGTGACTATTTGGTCACTTGGTAGATGCTTTAATCAATTAAATTGCCACGTTTTGTTTTATACTGCAAGTGTTATTTCTTATAATGACAAAAATTAGAAGTATTTTAGGGTTCTTCCAAACAGCTTATCATAACTTGATTACAAGATAATGAACTAAGTAATTAATGATAAAAGTTTTAAAGGGTGATGCATTGTCATTTGATGTTAGAAAATTTCTGAAGAATTAGAAAATAATAACAGGCACATTTAAACTCCTGACTCTGCTTTTGTCATGGCAACTAAGCTAGTGGGTTTCAAAACTGTTATGATACTTAAGATCAACAGAATATATTAGTTTTACTGTGTGATTGCACTAACTTGCCACTAGAAGGAGTTATAAAAAAAAACGTTTTTTTTTCTTTGCATCTAGATTTCTTCAATAAAGAATATTGAAATTTGGTTTCTTGATTAAGGCTGATAAGTGTTTCAAACTTATAGCACCACAAATGTTGTAATACTCTGCTCTTTTAACCTCTGTTGAAGTTTGTTAATTTCCCCAAAAGGGGGGATGAAGGCTGCCTGGGGGGGGTCACCTGTTTTAACCATTCACACCACCGTATAATACTGTGTTGTCTGTCAGTAGACACTAAAATGACATCACATAAGGGACATGTTTATGTCACCCTGAGATGATCTTGTGAACCTCAGTTTCGAAACAACTGCTATTGGTTTTATAAAACATTAAACAGGATTTTTTTAGGATAGCACTCTATCCCCTTGATTTAAAATCACCTGTGTGTGTTTATGTCACCCTGAGATGATCTTGTGAACCTCAGTTTCGAAACACTGCTATTGGTTTTATAAAACATTAAACAGGATTTTTTTT